TCAGGCAATAAACGTCATCCAGTGAGAATAATGTGTAACTCATCTTACACATGTTGATTTCTCTTGCACTCATGTTCATTTTTTGTAAACATTTGGTTCCAGGGTGACAGTGGGGGACCTCTGGTCTGTGAAGAGCAAGGACGATATGTGCTACATGGAGTCACCTCCTGGGGTCTGGGCTGTGCCCAGCCCATGAAACCTGGTGTTTATGTGCGAGTGTCTCGTTTTATTCCATGGATCCAAAGAATACTGAATGAAAATTGAGCTGCCCGTAACCTCTTGCCGAAATCAACAAAGAGAGAGAAGAATAAGTAGAAGTGAAGTGCAATATTATGAAATCATTTACATGAATGTAAAATAAATCTCATGAATATCCTGTAAGCATCCTTTTCTTTGTTGGTTTGTTTACAAGATGCCTGAGTTTGTGGAGCAGTAAACTATGTTAGTTATGATGTAGAAAATCTGAGAAAATTGAATCACTGGCATTTGGCAGGATTAATAGCCACTGAAGGAGGAAACTTTTTGGTATTATAGCATGACTTTTGATCTGTGGGACACATGGCATCTAGGTCATCTAATTGTGTGTCTGTCTATCTGTCTGTCTATCTATCTATCTATCTATCTATCTATCTATCTATCTATATATATATATATCATCTGTCTGTCTGTCTTTCTGTCTGATCATCTTTCTATCAGGAGCAGTGGTAGAATGCAGTATTGCAAGCTAACTTATTGCTCACTGCCAGCAGTTCAGTCCTGACTGGCTCAAGGTTGACTCAGCCTTCCATCCTTCCGAGGTTGGTAAAATGAAGACCCAGATTGTTGGGGGCAATATGCTGATTCTGTAAACCTCTTAGAGAGGACTGTAAAGCACTGTGAAGTAGTATATAAGTCTAAGTGCTATTGCTATTGTTATCTCTAATCTCTGTCTGTCTGTCTGTCTGTCTATCTATCTATCTATCTATCTATCTATCATGCATCCATCCATCTAGGTCATCCATCCATCCATTCATCAATATCCTCCTCCTCCTCCATCATCCTCCATCATCATCATCATCTCTTTAATCTACTTACCTACCAATCTACCTACCTAGTATCCAGAAGAATACAATGTGGCTCCAAAAGGAAAGACTCTTTCTTAAGATGAGATGGAGAAGGATTTCCACAAAATTTCTGTACAGCAGTGTTGGATGGCTATGATGGTGGAAGGCTCAGATTCAATTATTTCTACAAATGGCATCATCATCTTTAATGCTGCCTTACATTCATTGCTCATTCTGCTTCATGAGCACCATGAGTGAAAACTCATCAAGAAATGTTTCACCAAGTTATAACTGAATATATTCCCCTCTGACTACTTCTGTTTTACATATTATTTTGTCTGACTTGCTTTGAGTCACTTTTAGAGTGCATCTAAAACCATGGCTAAAAAGAAAGCCTAGCCCAGTATAATGTGTGGACCCTGTCACTGACCAGAGAGAAACCAGATAGGAGATTTAATCTGGCTTTATATTCAGTGCTGAATTATAATGCCAGTAATGTTAGTTATGTATGTGTGAAAAAATTGAGATGGCTTTTGCTTCAAGAAAAAGTGTTGAAATGTAAGGGAGGTTTTAAGGCAAAGCTCGTTTTGATCTTAGTATTGCCTCCTATAATGGGGTTATGAAGTCTGAGCTTCAAAGCAGTTAATCAGGAGTAGAGAGCAAGAGTATTCTAGAACCTTCTCCTGTCATCTAGTGATTGAATTTTTTTCAGTTCAGATCTAATAATAATAATAATAAAGTTGGAAGGGACCTTGGAGGTCATCGAGTCCAACCCCCTGCTCAGGCAGGAAACCCTACATCATTTCAGACAAATGGCTGTCCAGTCTCTTCTTAAAAACTTCCAATGTTGGAGCATTCACCACTTCTGGAGGCAGGTTGTTCCACTGGTTAATTGTTCTAACTGTCAGGAAGTTTCTCCTTAGTTCTAGGTTGCTTCTCTCCTTGATTAGTTTCCACCCGTTGCTTCTTGTCCTGCCCTCAGACCTTTTGGAGAATAGCTTGACTCCCTCTTCTTTGTGGCAGCCCCTGAGATATTGGAGCACTGCTATCATGTTCCCCCTCATCCTTCTCTTCATTAAACTAGACATACCCAATTCCAGCAACCGTTCCTTATATGTTTTAGCCTCCAGTCCCCAAATCATCTTTGTTGCTCTTTTCTGTATTATTTCTAGAGTCTCAGCATCTTTTTTACATCGTGGTGACCAAAGCTGGATGCAGTATTCCAAGTGTGGCCTTACCAAGGCATTGTAAAGTGGTATTAATACTTCATGTGATCTTGATTCTATCCCTCCGTTAATGCAGCCAGGCACTGTGTTGGCTTTTTTGTTCTAGAATTATTGAGTCAGCTTTTGGGTTTGCAACAAGACTTCTGAACAACCCAGTGCAAAACAGATCATTGTGTACTACAAAAAAAAAACAAAAAACCTCGTTTATTTGGAAAAGGAGTGTAGGAAAAAAATGTGGCATACAAGAAATGAATTTAAAAAAATAAAGTGTGTTCTAGAAAATAGACAAGTTTAGCTTTTAAAAGCAAAGACCAAAGAACAGGATATTCTGCTCGATGCTTCAAAAGGTTTCAGCACATTAAGCTAGAGTAGAGAAGTTGGTTGGTCTAGATAGGAGGGTGCATTTGGCCTATTCTGTGTGGATCATTACTCTAACATGGATGCTAAAGCAGACATCTGCCTTCAGTGCATGCTTTCATAGAGACCTCCCCCAATGGACAAGGGACAAAGTTACTCAGGAGAGGAGTAAAACCTGCCTTGTAGCTGATTCTGCAAGCTGATAGAGAGGGAAACATTGTTCAAGGGACTTGGAGTACCTCTAGGTTGTTACTCTTCATTCTATTAAATGGAAAAGTAGCCTGTTTCTGATTCAGCGCAACTCCAAGAAACATTTTATTTGCTGGACTGAGACCACTGTTTGGATTCTAATAGAACTTAAAATGGTTATTGCTTAGGTCTGGGGGAGGGAGGGGTCTCCAAACTTGGCAACTTTAAAACTTGTGAACTTCAACTTCCAGAATTCCTCAGCCATTCATGCTGGCTGGGGAATTCTGGGAGTTGAAGTCCACGAGTCTTAAAGTTGCTAAGTTTTTTTATTCATTTTGTTCAAAAGCATCCAAAAGCATTTAAATTGCAATCTAAAATTTACTCTTTCTTTTATCCAGTATTTAAGATTACGTCCTTGTAGACACAGTGCTTAGCCAGCTACTTTTCTCCAGGCAAAGTCAGCTGATCATCAGTTTATAATTTCTGACCAGTTGCTTGGTGTGGGAGGAGAAAACAATGGGCCCATAAATCTATCTTCAGAGAGGAATCAGAGAAGAGATTTAATCTGGCTTTATATTCAGCATGCAGCTATAATGCAAGCAATGTTAGTTATGTTTGTTACAGTAGTGGCCAAAATTGTGGAAATTTTGTATGTGGAAAAGTGTATTTTTGAAGTTTGTTGGCTAATAACCACCTTTTTTGGAGTAGTACCATAAAATTATATATCAATGGAAAGATAATTTAATCAAGAATATAATGCAATTAAGTTTGTTCAATTATCTGTACTGTATTCTATGAAAAGTTATAGCCAAATAACCAGAAAAAGGAAGCACAACTTGCTTAGGTCAATATCAGGTAGCTTTCCTTCATCTGATTGTAGCCAATGAGTGTGAGTGTTTAGAGAGCCAATCAGGAGTCATCTTGTTTTGGCAATGAGCCAATCGGATCACAGTAGGATTCAGTTATTGATGTCATGCATTGAAGCTGAGAGCAGGACATTTGTCAGTGTGTTATGTGATCGCTATCAAGTTGGTTGTGTTTTTTTGTGTTTTTTCATTTAGTGAGCTTCTAAAACGTAATAAAATTAAAGTAATGGTGCAAAGAGTTGACTGTTTGCCCAGAAAGCGATGTAAAATAGTATTATTAAGTGAACAAGGCTACAGTTATAAAGAAATTAGAAGAAAAAATGGTGAAAACGTAACCAAAGGTGCCATTTCTACTGTACACTTTTCCCAGAAGGTTTCCACAATTTTGGTCACTACTGTATATATACATTTGAATTTGAAACGGCTTTTGCTTTGGGAGGAACTTTTACCCAAAGCAACTAAAACCATCAAAAGAAGGAATTTCCTCTGGAGGATGGTAGAAAAAAACAAAAAAACTAAAGAGTGAATTTCCTTCTCCATATCTGCTATGTGAGTCTGGTGTCTGTCTGATCCAAATCCGGCACAAGTCCAAAAGCTCGGAAGACTAAACCTTTGGTCACAGTGACCAACCCAGATTGGATCCTGCAACATTATCTTGGGACACATATATTCAGCTTCATTCATATCAAGAACTTAAGTAAACTTAAGTATTAACAGCACCTGCAACTTTTGCATCTTTAACTTTTTTAATTGTGGCTGGGCTAATCTCTGGAACTTGGGTGCATCCAGAGTCAGGCTAGCAATTTAATACCAGTTTGTAATGCTAACTGTGCTGTTTCATGGAAAGCTGTTTCTAGCAGAAGGCTAATTTATAATCCCCAGGCCAATTTGAAAGTCCATGTTGAGTCTGCATCAAGAAACAATTTTATAGTCTTATTCACACCACAGCATTATTTTGAGGATAAAGGTGATACACTTGTTGTTCTGAATCCATAGGAAGCAGAGTTAATTCCTACACTTCTAGTAAAAATGTCTTTATTCATATGTACCTTTGAAATAAGGAACATATTTCTTTGAAAATGTTTTAAAAATTCCATTCTGATCCTGTTCCAATGAAAGAAATGAATGGCTTTTGGTTGATTCCATGTAAGCTGAGAAAACTTTGAAGAAAAAAAAAACCCGTGTTGCAAATTAGTAAAGAGAAAGGAGATAGGGCAGGCATATATATATATATATATATATATATATATATATATATATATATATATATATATATATATATATATATATATATTTATATTAAAAATAAACCAAGAACCTGTAGTAAAACAAAATATTTAATGTAAGTGATTACTCTTCTATGAGAGCCATTTATAATAGTTCCCTATCTGGAAACAATAGGTTCTGAAAATATGTTCATATTTATCCCATAGAAAAATTCTATGCTTTATAAAAATGTTCTTTTAGGGCTTATGACACAATTGAATCCATCTCCTCCAAAAAGAAGATGGTGTCCAGCAGTCATGAATTTGAAAACAGGGTAGCTCATGAGGTTTTGCAGTATTAACAAAAGGTCAAATTTCTTTCCTGGAATTTTGCCGCTTGTTTTTTTTCACAACAGCCATTGAAACTGTGTAGAGAAGGGGAAAAAAAGTTTATAAGCAATTAACTTTGTTGGGCAGACTGATTTAAACAGAAATGCTGTTTCTTTAAAGTAATTAATTTTAAAGACTGAATCTTACTTTGTAATGTACACTGGCATGTTTTAAAATAGGCAGCTCAGGAGGGCCACATTTAGACTGGGCTCATGAATGAAGTTACAAATGAATTTCCTCCTGTACCAGTGAACCGATGAATATTGATTCTCCTCTCTCCTAAATTAGGGGTGCTGTGGTCAGACTAATCCAAGGAGATAAAATTGCAAATCCACCGCATCTAGCATGACACCATAAGTACAATGTGACTTGTTTTGGCTTAGCATGTTGTATGAATTCAACCATTCTGGCTTAGTTGAACCTAGCTTTTATGACTTAATCACCAAATTGTGTAAAAATAAGCAATAGCTTAATATGAGTACAAACTGATCTATTATTTTTAGCCTAACTTGTTTTGAATAATTGTGATAATTAGAATGGTAATGGTTGAAAACAAATGCTGCTTTCATTTTCTTGGAAGAAGGTAAAATTTGCATGTCATAACCAGCTTAAATCTGTGCTAAAACAATTTTACTCATGCTGTAAGAGGGAGGGATTAATTCCCTCTGCTCCTATGCTGCTTCTAGTCCAAACTGCTCCTTGCCATGTCTTTTTTTTTTTTTTTTTTAAGAAAAAAAAGCATACATGGATGTTTAGGTGCATGAATTCATACACATACAGATGCACGTGTATTTAGCGTAGAGTTTGTGCTAAGTCTCTCAAAAATTGTTGAACTAGACCTAAAGTCTAGAATTAATCATTGGAAGGCTGAATTTTCCAGCGGGTATGCAAGAATATCTAAGGATACATATATTCTCTTCTAAGGATACTTAGTCAGTACCTTGACATTTTCTCTACATCTTCCACTGTCTCTGGTAAGGGCTGCCCCTTGGTCTCAGGTAAAAGTAGCACCAGAATCCCACAGAGAAGAGAAAGTACACCTATGAAAAAGTGAAGTGAGAAATATAAAAGGCATTAGACATTTGTTGTGGAATTTTCTTGTGATTCTACTGTTTGTGCTGAAAAAAAAAGCTAGTTTAAATAGAGTTTTTTTTTATGTAAGGAGCAAGAAAAGGTCTAAATAAGCTGATTTGAGAATTCATCCAATCCCATGAAATATTACATTGAGGCAGTATCTTATATATTTAAAATATAATTTGTCCAATTGCATCAGAATTAGGATTTGGGCCAAACAACTCAGTCTTGACAATGAATTGTTCTAGCAGACATGGTGCATATATAAGAGGCAGATCTGAAATAGAATCCTGTCATAGCCCTATAGATGGTGATACACAAATCAACTTTTGCCATGCCAGAATTTCACAGATATGATGGATTACGAATTCCATACTTATTAGCGTCATATTTGTTGGAAATGATATTTGGAAAGATGTAGGGTCAGGTTACTCGAGCTGAGCTCAACTCTTGCTGAGTACATAGGTACAACCACGTTGTCTTCTTGACAACAATATGGATGTAATTTGTTATTGTGTTTTCCTAGCAAGAATGCCATAATTTAAGCTTTTCTGGTCCATTATGATTTCAGGACCAGCTGTTGCACTTAGAAAGGTGGATTAAAATATAAGGATCAGTTAATATAATTATTTTATTTAAGGAATAGTATAACCATTTGTTTTGATTTCATTGTAAAACAGTGGTCTCAGTCAGAGATGAATTCAATTAAAAATAAATTCCAGTCCTCAACACAGTTTATTCTCTTCTTTAACTCAAGAGTATATAAAAATGAATGCGGTGAGATCAACAACATGGAGGTCTTTTTTGAAATGCACAGCATTCTTACAGGAAACTAAATTCCTGGACAAAAAATAAAATAAAATAGAGGTACTTCTCAGAATCAGAATAGAGCTGGAAGGGACCTTGGAGGTCTTCTAGTCTAGCCCCATTCTCAATTTACAATTGAGCCCCAAATTTCCATTGCTAAGCAGGGCAGTTGTTAAAGCGAATTTTGCCCCATGTTATAACCTTTTTTTTAAAACCACAGTTAAATGAATCATTGTAGTTATTAAGCTAATCTGACTTTCCCCATTGACTTCACTTGTAAGAAGCCAGCTGGGAAGGTTACAAATGGTGACCTCCGGGACAGTGGAACTGTCATAAACACATGCCAGGTGCCACGAACTTGATAATTGATCTTGTGACCAAGGGGATGCTGTGACAGTCATATAACAACCCATCCAAGTCACTTTTTTCAGTGCCATTGTAACTTCAAAAGACACTAATCAAATGCTTGTAAGTTGAACACTACCTATATTGTAGATTCATCATCGTCCTAAGTACAAAGCTCACTTTTTGTGCAAACATGCACCTAAACACTGATTTGTGTATTGTGATTTGACTTTGGAAAGGAGTCATTTGCATGGAAAGTACTAACACAAGAAATTAAATCCCATCCCCATCTGCCATTCCTGAAACTTCCTGTCCTCCAAACTACTTGCCTTTATGCAGAATTCCCAGATGTGTTTGTATCTTTGTAAAGATATTTTACAATGAATGTACAAAGAAGGAGGGTACAGTACAGACAGTACACACTGCTTCCCAAACCCCCTACCCTGGTTGCTGAAAATTCCCTTTCAAAGTTGGTTTAAACACAGGTGCCAGTGTGTGCATTTGCTCATTGTATTATATGTTTTTTTTGTTCTAATCAGCCTTGATCTTTCTTCTAAACTGGCAAAAGAAAAGCAAATTTTGAAATAATTTCTTACAGTAGACAATCAGAGGAAGCTCTGACCAGATGTCTGCTAATCGGTAAAGCAGAAATGGGGCTACCGTGCCCCCTATATCACACATTCCTGAACATAGTGAAACACCAAAATTTCTGTAAGGAAAAGAAAAGAAAACATCTTACTTATCATGTATAGTTTTGAGTTTCAGATGAACATATTTACTCCTTTTCACCATCTACAAGGAATTTTCCCATAGGTGTGCAAGGTGTTTATCACAGTATGTGATCCTTTGCTTGCTACCTACTTGTCTTTGACTCAACTGTGGTATATCCAGAAGACTAGGAAAGATTAGCTTTCCATTTGCAAAACAGAAGCTCTTGAGCTCTTATTGGCGGCTCATAATCTCACTGATGAGCACTTAGTCTTATTCCATCTCCTGGCTGTAGGTTCGAAAGCAACCATTAATCCCTCCTTGTCTCAGGGCTTCAGCATCTTCTCTTAATGTCTGATTGTAGGCCATCTTTAGAAAAATATCTTCCCCTCAACCCACTCCATCCTCCATAGCAGCGTGCAAGTATGGGTGGAGGTACTGTATCAGGAAAAGTATCTAGCTGCAAAAATCTGATACCTCATAAAAGGTTTTTCAGTGCAAAAGAAGGAAGCTGGTTTTTCATTCAGGACATGTTCGGTCAAAACAACCACTTGAAATATTTTGCAAATAACCATTCAACTACATTGAACATTTGGAATGGAGGAAAGAATGGATTGGAGGGGACAATTATCTGTGTTTGTTTTTGTGAAGTGTCCAAAGTTACATTGTACAAGATAGGCAGCTTTATAAATCTTAAAAAAAATGGAATTAAAACAAAAAGGAAGGGAAGGGAAGGAAGGAGGGAGGAAGCGAGGAAGTAAAGGAAAGAAGAAGGGATGGAGGGGAGGAAGGAAGGAAGGAAGGAAGGAAGGAAAGCTCCTCTGAGAGGAAATGCAAATTCCTCTTGCTGCTAGAGCACTTGAAGGCTGGATCTGAATAAAGAAGACCTCCTATAAATGGCAAAACAGAAGCCACTAAAAAGTTCTAGAAAACTGTGGTATTTTCAAGAAAAGACCAATTTTGCCACAAAGTTTAATACACATCATTACAAATAGTGGATTACAAACACTTTCACATAAACCTTTGTATGGAAGTGTCCAAACATTCAGAACTGGAGGGAATCAGACACTTTCCAGATAAGTTTCATTAAATGTCTTAATTTCTAAGAATTAGAAATTTATACTTCAGTATAAATCAATACTGGATTGGCCTTTTACATTGCTTAGTGAAACATAATGACATTAAAGTAGGAAAATATATTCCCCACTTCTGGAAAAGTGATAAAAAGGCTGAGAAATAAGCCTATCTCTTAAGGAAAATTTGTTTTGATGTAGGGGATGTTGTAAGCTGATTCAAATAGAGTATTGGCAGTTGCATATAGCTCATAAACTGTGAATTGCCTCTTCTCCAGAGTCCCAATCTTTGATACATTTATTGATGACTACATCATATTGAATACAATAGGGTTCACTTCTCAATATGTATAGACATTAGGATTGCCCTGCAACTCTATGAGTCACTTTCTTGTTAAATATTATTTCTTACTTTTAAAATGCCTTTGGAGAAAAAGCTGATTTTTCCCCCTATGAACTTGTGAAAATTGCTCAACGTGTAGATTCCACTTACCTGAAAACTGTAGGATACAGTTCACTATTCACGAGATACACAAGTTCAAAAGTGATGGTGATCCCCAATCTTGCCAAGATGGCTACTGCTGTACTTAACCATGGTATATCTGTTGAGATACACAGTATGCAGAAAGTTAATGTTTAAAAAATTCACTTAACTTGGGACCCAGGCATCAAGATCCTATACTGATTTTATTATTTTGGTGTCTGACAATTGTTATTTCACGAATCATCTTCCAAATAAATTATCCAAAGAGATTGATTTCAGAGTCCAGGCTCAAGGCTGCTCAATTTCTTCATGATTCTGGGTGGATTACAAATTTTAAAAAAACCCAATACATATAAAAGAGAGAGATTAGCCAGAACAATACAATCAGCTACAAAGCCAGATTTAAATACAGAGGATTCCAATTACCACCTTATCTTAAGGCAGGGGTCTTCAAACTTGGCCGTTTTATGACTTGTGGACTTCAATTCCCAGAATTCCTCAGCCAGCGTGCCTGGCTGAGAAATTCTGGGAGTTGAAGTCCACAAGTCATAAAAGGGCCAAGTTTGAAGATCCCTATCTTAAGGCCTGAGAAAATACCCCAGTTTTTAGTGATTTTAATGATACAAACTGACCTTCAAAGTGCCAATGACCAGATGATTGCTAAGGAATATAAATCCTTCCATTCCCCACCATTCAGCCAGAACTGAAGAAGCTTCTTGAATGAGAAGCAAAATGTTTTCAAAGGAAAAAAACAACAACAAGAAAGTCCTTTTTGAAAAGCACCTCTGGGGCACTTCTATTTTTTTTTAAAAAAAATAAAAATTAATTTATTTATGCAATTCATCTAGTGCCTTTAATTCACAATCTCTAGGTGGCAAGCTTTATTAACAAAGAATTTGCATGAGGGTTAGTGTTCATCGTAGAAATATTCTGCTATTCTGAACAGAAACATTGTTTAAGAATGTTGCAGTAGTTTAGATTTACCTTTAAGATCACAGGTATACAGTGGACCTTGATTTATGAATGTTTGTTTAATGATAGGAAAAGTGACTTACAACCCACCCTTATACTTGTCACTGTCGTACCACCCACCACCACCCCGATCACATGATTGCAATTCAGGATCTTGGCAACTGTCTCGTATTTACGATGGTTGCAGCATCTGCAAGGGGCTGCCATCAGTGGTGGAATTCAGCCAGTTCCGGTAGGCAGAACCGGTAGCTAATTTTTTGTTGCCCAGGCCCAGAATGGGCTTCTGGAAGTGCCATCCACACAGAGAACCGGTTGTTCACATATTTGAATCCCACCACTGGCTGCCACAAAGAAGAGGGAGTCAATCTACTGTACAAAACACCTGAAGGCAGAACAGAAGCAATGGCTGGAAACTAATCAAAGAGAGAACCAATGTAGAACTAAGGGAAAATCTCCTAACAATGAAAACAATTATCCAGTGGAACAGCTCGCCTTCAGCAACTGTGGGTGCTCCATCGCTGGAGGCTTTTAAGAAGAAACTGGACATCCACTTGTCTGGAATGGTATAGGGTCTCCTGCTTGGGCAGGTGTTGGACTAGATGACCTCCAAGGTCTCTTCCAACTCTGTGGTTCTGTTATTCTGTTAGCTTGCAGTCACGTGATCATGATTTGAGAACATCCAAGCTAGCATCTGACCAACAAAGTCAATTGGGAAATCTGAATTCATTTAATGACAGTGTGAGTCATTTAATAACAGTGGTAAAAATGGTCAAAAAATTGGATCCTGTCATAGGATGACTTGGTTCACAACCTTAAGTTAATTTCCTTAACTTATAATGGAAATTCCAGTCACAATTGTGGTCAAAAGTTGAGGATCACCTGTATTCAAATAATATTTCCTAATATACATGAATAGATATAAGCTTTATTCCAATGAAGCCATCACAGTATGTTAATACAATAAATATATGAACCTTCACCTGCCCCCTTAAAATCTTGATGCAAATCATTTTTAGCTGAAAGGAATAACTTTTACCATCCACATGACAGAAAGAAACATCAAATGAATCTTCCCCCCCCCCCCGTAATTGCAGCTTAGAAGACTGCAGTGTTTGAAAAAAAGGGGGGGGGGGAGAAAATATAACGGTAAATTGCTCATTTTGGGTGGAGGGGAAGAATACTGGTCCTGCTGAAATTTACTTTTCAATAACTATGTATTGTTATCCTGTTAAGGATCCTTGTTCTTGCTGCAAATAGCATTATTGTTAAAATGCGTAAACTCTCAGGTTTGCCCCAAAGGGAACTGATAAGCTTTACTAAAAATATAGAAGAATTCTTTTGTTTTTCGTGTTTTCTTTTCCCCTTGAGTTCTAGTCTTTGTTTTCATAGGGCCCATTATTTCCAGATTGCATTAAGGGACAGATCCAAATCACTCCGCTTGTACTATTTATTTTAATGCAGCAGATGGCAGCACTGAGCCACCTGCAGTTGATCTGGGGCTGTTGGTTTGACTGAGAATGAGAGAGGAAAAAAGAAATAACAGTATTGCAAAAAGACAGTAGCAAGCCACTTCCATAATGCTGCCAAGGAAATCTGCAGGAGTTAAGCTTCCCTCAAGTGTATTGCCCAGCAACTGTTGCTTTTGGATTTAATCAACAGGTCTCTGGAAGTATTTGAAGCTTTTTGCCATTGCAGACAAAAAGAGACATTTTGCCCTTGGCATTCTCTCTATTCCCTCAACTGTACTTAAAAACGATAATGGATCTCTCTCGAATGATCACAGAAACATCAATGAATATAGTTTAGCCTATCCATTATAGTTAATTTGGATGCAGCCTGATAATGTCATGTGGCAATGCTCACCATTAGGTAATTATGGGATTAGGGTGGGATCATGGACACGGTGTTTCTGATTGTGGAATTGGAAAGCAATGCCCCCTTTTGCCCAATGGAGAAAGTCTAAAATCTTTTTAAAAAAAACCTGATAAGATGAATTATTTGCCAATGGTGCCCAAGCATCTCATTAAAAGGGGCAGAATGAAAAAACTTGCCTAACTTCTAGTGTATTGTGAGGTCAGCACATAAAAATCCAGGAAAAAAAAATTTCTTAGTTTTTGCCATTATTGATCTCATATCTTTGCAATGCAATGATTATAAGGCTTGGACTCCTGAGCTGCAGGCGATGGCGGGCAGATGCATGTGATGTACTTGTTTTCTCAAGGAGAAAACAGGACCATGATCCCTTTTAATTAAATTTATCTTATAGAAAAAACAAAGCCCTTTCAATATTCCAGCAAAGAGAATATTTGTTCCAATCTTACTGGATTGCATCAGTTTTTTATTCTTTCAAGGGAAGAGAAATAACCAATGAATGGAATGTATTTGTAAGGTGTATTCTTGCCCCCCCCCCAATCTGATGTCTAAGGCACTTATACATCTATGAACACTTATACATCTATGAGTCTATTCTTTCAGGCTCCCTTCCCCACCTACTGTAGCTTTCTATATCAGTGAACCCTGTCAACTTTAAAGTGTATGGACCTCTACTTCCAGAATTCCCCAGCCAGCAGGTATTTACTTTTTTAAAAAGAGCTAAATGAAAAGACGACACTCCACAAAATAGAATCCCAGCCTGCCACATCATCTTTATGCTTTTGAATACCATAAACTGTTCTGCAAAATAAAGATGGCTGCAAGTTGCAATCTAGGGTTTGGTCTGGAAGCATGCCCACCTGCTCAGAAAAATAGCAAAAGTAACCATTCTGGGGATATAAAAATCAAAATGAGAAACTTTCTACCCTCTAACACAACTATGTTATATGTGTGTAAATTTCCTTAGTGAAATTTATTTCAGAAGATATTCACAATGTTCTCCAAAAATCCCCTGCATGCCCCCATCCTCAATATCTCTTGTTCTTTGTGGACTTTGCTTAAAGTTTAAGGATCCTTCTGGCCTAAAAGTTGAGAGGGATCATAATTATAATTAATCAAAGAGATATTTCTCAGCCTCAATTAGAAGGCTCCTTTTAGCTCTGCAAGTTCATATCCCATTCATGAGTCCAATGATCCCTTTTCTCTCTGTAGTTCAGGGCAGGTCTATCTAGAACAGGCTCTAGATACTCTGATCAGGATGACGCGTTGATGACTAATCACCTGATAAGTGTTCTCAGAAGCCTGAGTTGAGAACTCAGATTATAAATGACGGGCAAATCACATCCTTCTGTGCTTACACAGCGTCCGTACTTAGATAAATAGCGAATTAATGAAAACTGACTAATAAGTCTGAAGCAAAAGTCTTGGGAAACTATGGGAAACAAGCCCAGTGGCCTTCATTGATTTCTCATTATTTTATATTACAGAGTTTCACAGTACTATTGTCACTTAAACATATACTCTTGTTATTGATCATACAACAAATAAGAATCAAGCACTGTTGGAAACTATGACATTTCTATGTGTTGGCTTTGGATCAGTCCACGATACCTCTAAGATGTTTTGAAGTTAGCCTCCATCTGTTTTCCATTTGCTCAGCAAACAACCCCCTATATTAACTCCAATAGGTAACTCCAATATGAGTCACAAAGTGCAAAAGGCGAGCTTTACACCACAGAATCTGGAAGAAAATCAACTGAGCTGCTCAAGGAGGGCAAATAACAGGAATCCCCCAATATGGTCTCCAGGCTAGATTGGTATCAACACCAGGTGTGAAAGAGCCTTGTGTGTTACTGCTGAATGCTGCCACCTCTTGTATTATTTTCCATCACGTTCCAAAAAGCAGCGTGTTTCTTTTGAAAGAGTATCGCGCACTCTTATTTCACCCAACTGAAATATTTGAACCTGTTTTTAAAAAGCACTTTTGTACTTAAAGTGAGTGCTTTGAGAGACGAGTGAGATAACAAAGGGAAAAGAAAAGGAAAAATGAAGCCATCTAGTTACCTTTTGGTAAAAATGCTGTGATTAAGCAGGCGGCCCCTGCCACGAGAGTTCCTGAGGCAAACAGAGGACGCCGGCCAAGTCGGTCAATGGTCGCTAAGATTAAGAAAGCCGAAGGCAACTCTATCACCGCAGAGATGAAGAACTCCAAATACAAATTCCCTTCTATGAGTCCCAGGCGCAACACAAGCCCCTGGTAAACTACTGCGCTGGTGAACCTTGAAGAGCAAGACAAAACAAGAAACAGTGGGGCCTCCAGGATTGCCTGGGAAATATCAGATGTGACAGGCAAAGCCGCAGTGCATCTGCGAGATACCTACCAGGCATACATGAGAATCAAAGTGAATTTTCTCATCTGTGGAGTTCTAACCAGATCAAACAAAGAGGGGTTGCTCACCTCTTCATCAGAAACCTTGATCTAAGAAGTGAGAGAGGCAGAGTTCATATTCCTAATAACAGCAAAGAAATAGTTTTGGGGGAAAAGTGTTCTAGTTTTGAAATGCATTAGTTTTAATTTTAAAAACAAAAGGCAAATTGGCAAGAGGGATGATGAAAGAGTTGTTAATAAGCCAACATATTTCATCTTAATATTTTTTCATTTTTTCCTTGCCATGGTATATGTGTCTTCCCTAAACTACATGGCTGCATCCCTGTGAACAGAATATTGTTGGATATACCCCCACAAATGTTCAATCTACTACAATGTAGTCTATTCCATTCCATTCCATTCCATCCACTCCACTCCACTCCACTCCGTTCCATTCCATTCCATTCCATTCCATTCCACTCCACTCCACTCCACTCCACCCCACCCCACCCCACCCCACCCCACCCCACCTATTATTTATTAAATGTATATGCCATCCATCTCACTACCCAAAGTGACTCTTATTTTTAGCTTAGAGCTAACAATTACCAGGTTGTAATGAACTTTACATAATACTTAAGTTTGTAGAACAGACTGAACACAAACTAGCCAGATACATTTTATACAATTTTATACTTTTTATTGTTTACACAATAAAAAATAGTAATTCTTAACACTGTGGTGACTTTGATAAATCTTAAAGATGAGGGGGGGAAGTTTGTATCTAGATTAAATATGGCTTTTAAAATATCATGAACACATGGTTGCTTAAACTGTACAAATGCTAAGCCCGACATTGATGAACAGTTGCAAAATGCCCTGAATTATTTTATAATATGAGAAAAGTTCTGATCATTGATCTTAATACTAAAGTATTCACTGAACATTTGGGACACCTACTGTCTTGCCTATTGAATAGTCTATTCTGATAGAGCAGCAGCAAAGTACATCTAATCAGCTCTTTAGAGAGAGAGTTGCAAAATGGTGGAATAGGAGTCTTATCGGGGACCAGAGAACAGGCACACCTGCATGAGATGGCCCACAGCACCACCAATTCCACTTACTACTTGTCAACTGGCACAATGGGTAGGAAAGAAAATTCATTTATGTATTTTCCTATTGATGCTTGATACTGTTGGCATAAAGAGAAAAGCAATACTGATACAGCCAAAATAACTTATGGCTATCTCATTCATGGGCAGAGAGCAAGCTGAAGATGGAGTCATGGGAGCATGGAAGAAAATATATATTATCAGGGCATCTTGGTATCCTTTATCCAAGGAGGGAAAGGGTTTTCAAATCATTTTTTCCCAAAAGAAATGCACCAACTTATTTCTACCAATGATAGGGTGTTAAATAACACAATCCTTTTCTGTTGTTATCCTGTTACAAGCCTAGTACTAGAATGTGTTTGCTACACTTAGTTGTTGGGATGTAATTGTCTCCCCAGCCTCAACCTTCCTTTGGAAATTGGAGCTACAAAAGTTAGGGAGAAACTCCACTGAGAGTACAGAATGTAAAATGCATTTGATGTTCCCATCATAGTACTTCCGGAAGCAGCGTGCTCTTTGCTGGGCACAGAGTCAAGAATGACTAGATTTGTGTATCCAAAAGGACTTTGGAAAAGAGCCAAAGTGCACTTTAGTTATGTAGATATGACTGAAAACTAGCCAGGTGCAGCTGTCAATAAATTATGATTGTGGCTGAGAACACTAGCTCGAAACTTTAGACTAAAATTTTTGAAATGACGCAGGAAAAGTAATACAATCTGGAAGCCAAGGTTAAAGTTCTAAAAATATTGTGGTTGAACAAACTGAATTTAATATAAACTGATTGATGCCCTCCCCAGCATCAATTTTTGTTCATTATTTTTAATCTTACCTTATATATAAATAGACTTAATTATGCACAATGCTTTTATAACATTTATGTCGAAAGAGACTCTTTCATGTAGTGTTATGAAAAGTTGGAAAATCTCTTTATAAATGATTTATGAAGTTTTAGTACATTCTTCTTGGAAATGTGGGATGGAACATAATTTTTCTGTTTTAAGAGACTGCAAAAATAGCCAACTTTCCATTCCATTTCTCTTTCAAAAAAAAAAATAGTTTAGTTTACTAACAACATTTTCCAAGCAAGGAATTAAGTGCACTGTACAAGATAAACTAAGATATAATGACAGATAATGCAGGCTCATAAACTCTCTCGTTTTGAAATATTATATACTATTAGGAATGGGGAAAATCCAAAATTTAATTTGATGGTGGTTTGCTCAAACTATACCATAAACATCTAACTATAGGAGTTAGAACTAAGTTAGGAATGATAGTTAGATGTAACTAAGTATAATTTAGAAGGTTTTTTTTTTCTTAGAAGACAAGTGATGCCTGTGTAATGTCTATTATTTTCATAAATCTTGTTCAAGAATTGTTGGGGAGGGATTGTTGGTGGGGAGATTCTGGCAAATGTTTCCTTCACAATCTGTCAAGACTCCTTTGTGATCTAAAGTCTGTTAGGGTTTATCCCAAAATCATTAAATGTTGTCTAAAACAATGTTTTCCATAAAAAGCAGCAACAGAATTTTAAATCCTTGCACCTTCTTCTCTGAAAACAGCCAAGTTCCATTTCTTTGGGAGAGGATTCACTCTGCCTATGTTCTGCTGAAAAGTTTAACAAATCCTTCAAGTTCTGGCCAATGACCTCCATATTAGTAAAATCAGAAGTAGTTGTTGGAAAGACCCCTATCATATTAATCCTTTCATCTTGCAGTGGACTGAATGAAACTGACTTCCTGAAGTTGCCTATTTGTACTTAGAAGCAAGCTAGATCACCAAGATTGAGAATTATGTATTTCTCTGCATCTCTCTGGGTGTCACTGTGTACATGTGTGTGTGAAAAATCCATCTCACTGAGAAAATCCATCATGAAAGAAAGAGAACTATTGAGAGTAATCTTATTAATTTGCAACTGTAGAATATTTAAGCTGTGTATAGAAAAAACACGAGGACATAACCAGAAGAGTAAGAAGAAATTGCTGTGGGGCTCTGTTAATAAACGTGTACTTTGGTTAGAGGCAAGAGACAGAGGAAGGGAATCAAAACACTGCTACAAGTGCCATTCAGTTTGCTCTCCCATTTGAACTGGAATCTAGGAGAAATGGGAGGCAGCTCAAAGCCACGAAAAAACTGAAGGGGGTGGGGTGGGGAGTTTTCCTTAAGAAATTTGATGGTTGCTAGCATCACATACACATGTGACCTACAAGCCATTCTTGTTTTGACTACAGGACTTCTGTGCTGAGAGGATGCTATGCTTTGAAACCCTGCAGGGCTCAGCCTATGGGTTTATATGAAGACTTGTCTAAATAAATGGCAAGAGATATTTTTACAGAATACTTTCTTGAAGATACAGCGGTAAAAAAATTTAGCCATTGTTGCAGCTATAGCACTTGCCCTCTGGAATGACATTGCTCCCCCTCCCAGAGATCTGTTTGTCTCCCACTTTGACCATATTTAGTCTGGCTCTTTTCCCAAACCTTGGGCTAGAGCGGGTTGCTTGATTTGTGAGATGGTGGTTTGTTTCTTCCAGGCACCCTTTGTCTATTGCATGGATAGTTTTACTTCAAATTGAGTGTATCGTACGCCACCTTGGGTTGTAATGCAATAACATTACATTTTACAAATTAAATTAAAGTCCGTACCTCCGAAAAATGCTCTGGGAGGCTTTGTCCATTTTCCTTGGCAACAGACTGCACAATCTGCAGGGCCTTCTTGCCTTTTTTGCGAGTGATCAGCCACCGTGGAGATTCAGGGACCAGCCTGCCAAAAAGGAGAGACCAATGAGGAAGAGTTGGCAGCTGTCAGCAGGTTAGATGTATTGCCTGCAAGAATGCCAAAACTTCATCAGCATCTTAATGAGTTCTTAAGGCCTTTCAGTTCTTTCCTGGCACTCCCAGTTTCCTTCTCCCTCCTGAAAACTTCTTTTGCTGGGGAAAATGACTCTTGCAAACCTGGCCGCTTCAGCCCCCCCCCCCTGCTTTTTGGAATATCCTTCCAAAAGCTTTCGTACTCTTTGTGTTAGTTTGGTTGAGATTATATTGTGGACTTTTTCTGAGACAATAAATGACATTGCATATGATAAGAAAACAAGAAGTCCAGCGCAATTGAACTCATTGAAACTAATGAATCAAATCATTCCAACAGTAAGCTAGAAGTTGTTATTGATTATTAGGTGACTCATACCCATAATTTGATGGCTCTGAAATTCTACCTAGGGCAGGGGTAGGCAACCTTGGCTCTTTTATGACTCCTGGACTTCAATTCCCAGAATTCCTGAGCCGGCCATGCTGGCTCAGGAATTCTGGGAGTTGAAGTCCAGGAGTCATAAAAGAGCCAAGGTTGCCTACCCCTGCCCTAGGGCTTACAAACACTTCATAATCAACAAGTTTGATTATATGCAATCAAATGTGTGTCAAGTCCTTGTCATCATATAGATAGTTTCTCTAGATGTCTATAGAGATCCTCAGTCATCCAGGTCACGGTTGTCCCAAAGCAACTGGACTTTCTTGTTTTTCTTTGAAGACACTTCGCTTCTCATCCAAGAAGCTTCTTCAGCTCTGACCAGATGGTGGGTTTGATCATTTAAGTCTGTGCCTCAAGTGAGATCTCTGAGTTGATTTGTTTAATGATTCTTGGCTGTGCTTTTCTCAGGAGTTTACTCCAATATCAATGTTCAAAAGCATAAACCCTCTTTCTATCCTGCTTCTTCACTGTCCAGATTTCACTTCTATAAAAGAAAACTACTTCCATAGAAAAAAATGGGGAAAAAACATTGTTTCCACGGTTCTAGTTCTGTGGATATAAGATACATCCCAACATCTGAATATATTTTCCATGGCCTTCATTGCTGCTATATCAATTGCTAGTCTGCAGCATATTTCTTAACTACTAGTTTCTTTCCTCTTGATAGATGATCTTAGAAGATTGAAGATAATCACCACTTCAATGTCTTCATTGTAAATCTTAAACCTGATTGTTGTACCTGTTGTCATGAATTTGGTTTTCTTTATATTTAAACATACTCCCATTTTTACTAGGTATTAGGATTGTTTTAAACTGATCGCATTAATTATCTTATTATTAAGAACAGCAATTATATTAATAGAATATAGTCATGGCATAGTAAGGATGATGACTTATGGCAATTCATTAATAATGATAAGTATTATTTTTATAGATTTCAAACTTGTATAAATTAATAATCTATATAACAACTCCAAAATATAGGACAGTATTATTGTTGTTCCCTTAATGTAGATGTCATAAGAGCTTATCTAATACTGAGATTTAGACAAAGAAATTGTCTTAATCACGACACAAAAATGATTCTTAGCTTATTACAATAACTCATTTTAGCTTTCTTCCATCTAGTGCCATTAATAAATGTTTGACTCATGATTTTCATAATTTTTTGGATGTTCTTCTCTGAAGATACATTGAGAGTTCAACTTCTAGAAAAGACTAAGTTGGTAAAGACTCTATTGCAAGAAACAGCTGCTATTTGCATTAAATAGGACTCATCATGAATGCATGAAAAAATAATTGTCGGGGTGGGGGAGAAAAAAGAAAATAATGGCCAAATTACCAGTAATATAACAGGAAAAGAAAGTTGGGAAGTGTGGTAACTAGTTGAATCCCCTGCCATGTGGGAATCACATAAGCAATTCCAGGAAGAATCACAACTCCGAGTGTGAAGAACATCTGTATTACAATTCCAACGACCCGTCGGTGATCTGAACCAACCAGCTCTGTTACTGAATTGACAAAAAGACATAAACAAAAAACTTTGAAAGAAAACGAGAGCCATTATAAAAAATCATAGCTGAAGTAATAGCACATTTTTTTCCAGCGTCTTATGTCAGCCATCCCTAACCTTTATGACTTGGCAGCTTGGGAGAGGGAGAGGGGAACCGGCCTGCGCAAGCAGTGGGCTGGCACTCATATGTGCACATGTGTACCCGCCTACCACTTGCGCAAGTTAAGCTGTGCTTCCAGCAGAAAAAATAGGAAACCAACCTTCATCAGAATGATGCTATAGCAAATTCTACAATAAAATCCAATTCAGCAAAGCTCCTTCAATAAAGCTATTCAGCTTCAGTACTTTGCCCCAGCTGCATTGGGAAACAACGGAAAACACACCATGCCTTACCCAATACAAAGCTTGTCATCCAGGTTCCCTTTCCAAAGATTCCTTGTAGAAAGCGAAATATTGAAAATACAATAATGTTTGGTGCAAAAGCCACTATTAGGCCACATAGTCCTGCCCCAAAGCAAGAAAAGAGATAAATGGTGATTCTGCCAAATCTGTCAAGGGAAGCAAAATAAATGAATAAATAAAGAAGAAATGGAGCCAAGAGGAGGCAAAGATAACTTTAAAAATCACTAGTGAAATTTCTCTTCTTCCCCCAGATTATAGACGCTCTACTACGTTTGCCCAGATACGTTCAATTACAAGATCTTCAATCAACGTGGTTCATTGGTACTCCCTTATTAGATTAACTTCTTAGGTTGTTTCATAAAACTATTTGGGAATATCTTCTGCATAAACATACATAGGATTCTGTTACTGCTATAGAGCTAGATCTTCTAAATATGAATAATTCTTAGTTGAATGCTAAGGTATCTCACACCAGCTCTACTCCTTCCATGTATTAATTACTGCAACATCCTGGGTGTGTGCACATCTTTGGAAGAGAACAGATGTTTCACCACTGATTGTACTAATGAAGATAAGTGCCTTAAAATGATTACACTTTTAAACTGTAAGAAGTTGGATTGGGGATGTGAAAATTACATCCATTCTTCTACCTATGAATGATTGTAATTAACACTGTCTATTTATCATACAAGGAGCACAGCAGGTTGGAAGTTTTATCCTTTAGTATTTTAGTCAAATACTCAAAGGCTATTTATTTTGTTGTTGCTTTGGGCCTTAAGGGTTCAAAATTATGACTTGCGACCTCTGAAAATGATGAAAATATAGTCAGCAATCCCAGAATGACTAGAAGCATTGCCAGACATTAATAGAATGACTAATGCCACATACTATGACAGTCAATAAATCCCTAAAAACACTCTTTTTTTGCCATCTTTGTTACCTTTTGGTAACCCACATCTCTTAGATCAGGGAAGGCTTTGGAACAAGAGACTAGAGTCAAAGTGAACAAAACTTTGACAAAGTTTATGCAGCATCATAATCTTGCTTAATTCTACTCATCTATATTTAAATACTTACTGTCAGAACAAGAGTCAGAAAAGCAGACCATCTGCTTTATGTCTGAATTTGCTTCCAGAGTGTGGAAATCTCTGTCCATCAGTCAGATCAGAGGTGGGCAACTATGGCCCCTTTATGACCTGTGGACTTCAACTCCCATCCAGATGTAAAGGGGCCATAGGTGCCCACCTCTGACTAGGATAATGCTTGGATACTTTGGTTTCTTAGCAAACTGCAATGGGCAGAAATCACACTTTTCCCTATTTGAACAATAAAGAAAAATACGTTTTATTGCAAAACGTGAATGCAAGCTTTCAACGTCCTTCCCTCAAGTTTGAGTGTGAGGGAGGGAAAGAGGAGCATGCAGTACACATAGGTAGTCCTCGACTTACCATCGTTCATTTAATGACCGTTCAGAGCTACAATGGCACTGAAAATAAGTGAATTATGACTGGTTTTCACACTTGTGACTGTTGCAGCCTCCCCATGGTCATGTGATCAAAATTCAGATGGTTGTCAATTGGTTCATATTTATGAAGTTGTGTCCCGGGGTCATGTGATCCCCTTTTTTGTGAACTTCTGATAAGCAAAGTCAATGGGGAAACCAGGTTCACATAATAACCATAACTTAGCAACTGCAATGATTCACTTAACAACTGTGGCAAGAAAGGTCATAAAATGGGGCCAAACTGACTTGCCAACTGTCTTGTCATAAATGGAAGACTATCTGTAAAGTATTTCTCTCTCCATCTACATATCGCACGACATAGCCTTATTTGTCATGGAAGACAATACAGTCCATAGGTCATAGTTCATAGGTCATAGTTCAAAAGGCAAACATTACCTGTCCGCAGCATATCCCAGAACAAAACCTCCTACCAGAAATCCTATATTGAGTATAGACTGAGTCATGTCTATTAGCCACTTGTTCTCACAGACAAGGTCATACTGCAGAAGGAAGCGTAAAAGTACAGTAAGTTTCAGTAGAGGGACAATGGGTTTTAGGTCTTGAAAAAAAAAGTAATAGTGTTATTGTTGCTTTATGTATTTAATGCTGCTCTCTTCCCTTCCCCACTCCCTTTTCTTAGACATGAACCATTTGTCATCCACTTATCATACTGAACCCATGAGCTTCAGCACATGCATCATTTTGTAAAGTGATGTTCCAGTCTTCCAGGATATGAGAGAGAGAAGAGAGTAAATTTTTTAAAAAAGGTAATTAAGAATGCATCACAATAACACCCCAGTGAGAATGCCTCCGTGAGAATTAACATTTAAAAAAGATTTGTTCCTTCCCTGATCTCTTAAAGCCATTCCAGAGACATTGACGGTTGATGTATCTGCCGGGGCATGAGTTAAGGGCTGGGCACATTCATGCCTGTCAGATATCTGTATGCATACCACACAGACCTCCACACTGTGCAATAATCTTACTACATTTGAGATTAAATAACTTTTCATTGTGTTAAAATTAAGCCAATGACTTTGTTAGAGCAATAGAAGATGACAGTATGCAAACTGCACACTGCAAACCAAAAGAAGACAGGCACAAACTTCATACTCTTATTTTGGTTCCTCTAAATATGCAAAAAAAAAAAAATGCAGAGATCAGTCATTTCTGCTATCAATAACCACATTTCTGCTCTTAATAATGGACAGCACAATCTGAGAGTGGTGTTATGGCTGAAAAAGTAAGGCTGGAAGACCACCTGCAAGCTGTATATTGTTTATCTTTATGATATGGAATGATAGGGAAGCTGCATTAAGGAAATACAGATGATGTAGGAATACAAGCCAGGAAAATGTGTTGCAATAATTCCTCTTTTCTCACAAATGTTTCTTGCCTCTCATTAGGAAAAATGGGGAAACAATTGATATATTCCAGGAGGCTGGATCTGAGCTCAGGATTTGATGCAACACCCTAGGAGAGTTATGTCCTGACAAAATCCTCAGGATTTTTGTATTGTTTTATTTTTATAAGATCACCTAGCTGTCTGATTTTTTCAATGAATGTTAATAGAGTAGGGTAGTGGAATTATGTCGATGAATCATTATGAAGTCATAAAACATTCATAATAACATTTTACAGCAAAATAAAATGAATACCTTGTCCAGCATTTGATGTGAATTAGTCCAATTACAACTATCTGTTGTGCTGTCATTAACTGCTTGGTGTTGTGATTGGGCTCTGTGTTTTACATTTTAATGTAAGGTGTATGTAATGAGGATTCCCTAAAATAAACTTGCAAAAAAAGAGAGAAGAGGATGCACTGGTTTTTTACAGCGTCACCAGAATGGCCTGGCAATGTCAGATTTACTTCCTAATTTGATCTTCTTAAACTATGATTCAAGCTGGCTTTCCTCTTCTTTTCTCTTGCATGAATATCAGTAGCCATAAATAACTGAGAAAGAGACAAAAATTGGGATCATGTAGAATTGCACTGACAGTTTTTGAATCCTCCCTGCAAAAGGTTTATTTATTTTTTTTTAAACAAAAAAACATCACTATTGAGAGGGACTTCCATTGCATGAGCTAAACTGAAATTTAAATAAATAAATAAATAAAACACCCATACAGAGTTTTCCACAAGAGGAAATCCTATTGGTGCAAAGTAACTGACCCATTGCCTTACTAGAGATGTTTATTTAGGTCAGGGTTAGAGCTGCTGTCACAAGCCAAGTCCCTGAGCCCATGTGCACGAAAGGCCAGGAATTCAGTTCCTATCGTTTTCCAGGAATTGCAGGAAAGGATGTCCATCTACAATTTTGTGAAATAATACAGAGCTAAATAAATGAATGGTCTGATTTAGCTTAAGGTAGTTGATCTTTCTAATGCTGACAGAACAGCTTTCCTGAGTTCACAGCCTCAAAATGATCTCAGTCATTCAGAGTGTTACAGTGGAGTTGGCTTGAGATTATGGCTAAAACTTAGCTGATCTAGGTTTGTTCTTAAGATGCCACAGACTTTAGACCAGGAAGGTGGGAACAATTAACAATCCCAAAGGGTGCCAAGGTGGGGGGGGGGAAGGCCACACTAGAAAAGTAACCACTTTTAACACCTCAACCTTTTCTTTTAAAAAAATCTTTGGCTGCCTCAGTTCTGTATTAATAATTGACAAAATATTAGCAGAAGGGACCACAATAAGATTTGAAAAAATGAGTTTCACTTGCCCATTTTTCTAACCCCACTCACAGCTGGAATGTTCCCATAAAACTGCTACTACTTTATTTATCTAAAGCATGCATTGGCAGGAGATACAAGAAGTAAAAATAATATTTACACAAAATAATACAAATATACACATGTACATTTCTTCCCATACAATTTTTTTTGGCTTTAGTCAATAACCAGCCACAAATGTAATATGATAGGATTGGTACTGAATGACTTCTATTCAATATATATTTGATCTGTTAAATTTATTTTTAAATAAGAAGGTTTGATTCAAAGACAAACAATTTTAATTGTGTTTAATTATCCTAATCTTCCATTACTTTAATTCTGTCCCAGTGTCTGGAGGCTGTAAGAATCTGAGAGGGGAAGAAGAGGCTGTGGTTCAGCCTTGCCAAGAATAAATGCTTATGAATCCATTGGATCTGGGATCTAAAGTGCCACACCTTTGCTTCTGCATGAGGTGGCAGTGCCCCATTCAGATTTGATGCACAATCTGGACTCATGCTGGACTCCTGACTCATGCTTGAAGAGCAGGTTTCATCCGTAATGTGGAAGGGGGAGGGTTGCAAAATGGCTTCTTTTATATCAGTTGTGCTCATTTGGGGGGGCTGGGAAGCTCAGTTCATGGTCACTCATGCCTTTCTCATCTCCTGACTGTATTATTGCCATACGCTGTACTTGGGGCTACCCTTGAAGACCATCTGGAAGCTTCAGTAGGTCCAGAAGGCAGGATGTGAGTAGTAATGGGTGCATAAATACTTGAAGAACTGCCTTTCCAAGAACATTGCCTGTTTCATTGGGAGGGCATGCTCCATGCTTCCTTCTTGTAAACTTTGTCATCTTATGGGACTTCAGGAAGCATGCATTTATGATAGTTGTCTTACAAATTACAAATAAGATTAGTGGGATAACCTACATACTTTACCCAGTAGCTTCCTGCAATTTTCTTTCTACTTACTATATCTTTTATGACTGCACTGATTTTGCTTTTGTATGGTGCTGATAGAGTTTATTTTGGATGTTGCTTATAAAGCAATTCTTTTCATTATTCTGTTAGTCCAGTATATTTTTAAGACATTTTGTGAAGTTTCTGCCTAAGAGGAAGATGCAGTGTATAATATATAGATTGCCATGCTTTCTTCTTGCATCTCATGAGGATCCTATATGCACCAGTCCTAGCTGGGCAGGTCAATAGCTACTATTTCTATTTTTTTTAATGAAAGAGTTATTGCTTTTTTTATCACCATGTGGTTTGGTGTGTAGCCCAATCTTCTGCGCAATCTGATACAAGCCTACTTAAAAGTAAGCCCCAATGCATTCAGTTAGACTTACTTTTGAGGTCACAGAGTGTAATGGTATGTGGGAAAGACCTTGAGAAACTGGGCCAAGAAATGCTGCCAAGGGAACAGTCAGATAAGAGACAGCATAGCCTACATTTGTAGAGTAGGTGGGGCAAGAGGCTTAGAAGAGACCCTCCCACTCAGGACTGTAAAGGAGAGAGAAGAGAGGATTGTACTTTCAGATTTGCAAGATTCCATCAATGCTGCTTTAAATAAAATAAAATTAGCTTATCTGGCTGTGATTCCTATCTAGTTTACCCATAAGGCTGACATAAGACCCTTATCTGAAGGGTCTTCCCTAGTTTAATTGAACTCAGTTCTGCAATTTTAGTAGTCTGTGAATCTCCTGAATTAATGACCATCCATAAAGAGCAAATGAGCTTCCATCATATCAGCAGTCTCTCTTTTTTCTCTTCTTACTTTCCTTCCCCCTCCAGCCATTTAACACCTGATTATGTATTTCTTGACACTCAAAAGTTTGTTTCAAGATTTGTTGACTTTCAGTTCATGCCAAACAACTAGGTGCTGCTATAAATTTGGTTTTGTGTAAACTGCCTAGGTAGTTTTAAGTAATAGTTTGTGCTATGCACACTAGTTATGTCTTAAAAATGCATTGGCTGAGTTACTAGCTATTGCTTCCTGTTTCTTCCCACCTCATATTTTTGCCAGGATTGCACTAAAATAAATGCTACTGAACTGCCCTGAAATTTGGTGGGAATTTAAAAACTAAAAGAAAATGGCTTTAGTCTAGCTAAGGCTAGCTGTTCACTTAGCTCAATCAGTATGTTCTTCTATAAATGACTATATGGAAGCTCCTAAAAGGGAGATGCTGGGAAAAGAATCTATTACCTTTGACCTGCTCCATCAATGAAAATTCAATTCAAATGAAAAATTATATCTGATTTTTCTGAAGGACCAAGGCACAACTCTGTAACTGAGACAGTATTGTCTGTCCATGCAAATATGTTCAATTTTCAAAGTTGTTCCCATTCCTATATTCAAACCAACATCTATAATAGCGTTCCTCCATTCTTCTGTCTTTTTCTCTCTGTCTCTCTCTCTCTCTTTCTCTCCAGATATAACTTATTTCAAAAAGGCAATGAAACAAGGCTAATATTATCCACGACACTTTTACACTGCGTAGAAAATAGAAAATGAACCCTGCTTAATCCAAATATCAAATCTATTTTTACACTGTACAATGTATTACCTTATGTACTGTATATCTATACAATTTATTGACTTGCATTAATAATAAACATTTATTTCATATCCTTATGCAAATAAATGTAATTTTCTGGATAACATTGCCTTTACTTACCTCACTGGCAATAGTTGAGTGGGGTTTTTGGAATAACCAGCCATCCTGGCATGTAGTAAATGACTCACCGGCAAAGTTGTTGGTAAGATGAGCCAGTGGATACGTACAATTATGCCTGGTGTTATTCCACTTTATGTCATGCCTCTCACATTGCGAAGAATTCACCAGGCTTGAGGCTTGAATGGTAATGTTGTATTCCTCTTCGAGCGTCCATTCACACTGCTTCTTCAGTTCAGATACACCAGGGATCCTGCACGAATATTGCTCAGGATCTCGTCCCAGAAATACAATCCCAACAAATAGAAAGGAGAAGGTAATGCCAGTCTGGCAGAGGAGGATGAAGACTTTCTTTTGAAACTTTCCAAAGTCTCCAGCCTGTTTTAAAACCTCATCAAAAGACGGCATTGTAAACACTCGTTGTCTTCTACACACACCCCCGGCACTAAATTGGATGACTCCAAATGATAGCGGTGGTAACTTTTCTTCCAACTTTGTGACTATATAAAGAGCATTTTCTATAACTCATACATTCTCTTTCTCTCTCTCTCTTTCCCCCTCTCTCCCTCCCTCCCTCTCATTCTGCCTTCCTCACAAATGTCACGAAGTAATATAAGCAAAGCTGGGACAGATCAAAGTTTCACTCCCTCCTCTTTTTTTCTTTCGTTCTGAAAGACTCACACACATCCACACATGTGCACGCGCAGTTATTATGTTACTTTGGCACAATGTGTACACAGCACAATTTAGGATTTCACGATGAATTTGGCACACTTACAGTCCCAAAAAGGACTATATTTTCCCCAAGAGACTACACATTAAAAACTCTTAACACTTTAGTAAACAATAATTAGTAAACAGGGGATTTAAAGCAGAACTGAAGATTTAGCCAATATGCCCAAAAGGTAATGCCAACATGTCACAGGGTAATACAAAAATTAGGAAAAGAATCCATAGAAATCTATTAAGTCTATAAAAAACAATATTTCTTCCTTCCCTGTGTTCAAAGACAATGAAAGGATTATGGTTTTCAGAGGAGATGCCCAGAATAAAATTCTTTCCTTGGGAGAGGACATTAATTAAAATTTTTATAGTAATTAACCCAGCTACACCTCCAGAATCTATGAAGTATTGGTCAGTAATCAGTATTCAAGTTCACCCCTTAAACAGACAATTTAGACAACAAAATAAAACTCAAATGCAGTTAAGTAACAGAATGTTAAAGCTCATATAACTTGTAAGCCACCCAAAGTCATTTTATAGGAGAGCTAGGCGGCATAAAAATTGTAATAAATAAAATAATAAAAATATGACCATTTATACTGCAGTATTTCATTACACTTGGCTGTTCCCTAAAGAGCCCAATAGAATTTTGTAATCTGGCATGCTGCTTAGAGTTTGAATCCACACATAAAATAAAGATCTTCTCAGCCCATGGAGATTTTGCAAATTATAGGGTTCAAAACATATTGTGAAAATGAAATGAAGAATATAGAAAGACATGAATCAGAGTTTCAATGACACTCCATCCACAATACCATCACCACCACCACCACCTTTTTTTTTTTTTTTTTGCATTTGTCTTTTGGAATTGCTGGGTGAACAATATTAGAACATATCAGAGTAAATGTCATACAACCCTTTATTATAAAGAGTGATTCCAACTTGGGGTTGAAACTCCTATTTCCAATTATTATATTTGTAGGAATTCTATTGTGATCTATCTCTCTGTTATTATCAATTATCCTTGGAGCACTATTCTAGCTTCTTGTTATCCCAACCTCAGAAGCATCTGAGAGACAAACCCATTCTAAGCACTTTCTTTTTTTGCGAATGAAGGCGAACATATGTGTCCCAGGGTAATGTTGCAGGATTCAATGTGGGTTGATCACTGGTCACTGGGTCTGGTCCCAGTGAGGAACCCAGATTGGATCCTGCAACTTTCTTTTCTACCTCCTACACCCAGGGAGCTTGAAATCACCAATTAGAATGTGGGCAGAAGGTCAATTAATGAACAATTTCTCAAAAGGCTTCTGATCAGAGTTCTGCATTTGGAGTGCAGCTCATCTCTTTTTATGGGCTTTGGAACTACCACATCATCCCCCTCAGTCTCAGTTTCCCCTGCCGCAAAGTAGCTGGGCCAAAGTTTGGTTGTGAACTATTTAAGTGTAGCTAATGTATTCTGAACTCTTCTTGGCTATAAAAGTGTTATTTAGTTTGCAATACTTCTTTATGCTTTCTGGATAGTATTTATGAAGTGGGCTTTATAATTTCCAGTTTATGGTCAAATAAACAATGCAACTGAAACTTGTAGTTTAATCAATTGTTACTATTTAAAAGTTGACGTCATAGATAAATCTCTTAAGTGTTGTAAGGATTAGGAATAACAAATATTACGCTTTGGTTTTTGCAGTTTATTGTGTTTTATTTTATTTTACTATACATTCCACAAAGTCTCTACAGTTCTAGGAAGCTCTTTTAAAAAAAAAGATCTTTTAAAATGACCTTAGTGCATAAACACAGAAAACACAAAGCAGTAGTCAAACCCTCCCCTCCCCCCAGAACACAAATAGCAGGGAGGAATAAACAACAAAGGCCTTTCTATAAAGGTGTATTGTTTGCTTCTGAAAAATTGTTAGTGAAGAAGTGAAACAGACCTGAGAAGGATATTCCAAAGTTTAGGCATAAATGATCCTCTTCAAAATGAATCTCAAAAATTGTTGGGTGTAACAAGAGAGCTTCTGAACATGATCGTATGAGATAAGCTAGTCATTAAAATATCATAGTCCTAAATCATTCAGAGCTGTAAAGGTCATAACCAGTGGTTAGTGTTTACTCTGGAAGCTAAGATAGCTCTTTCTGGAAGAGAGTCTGCTTTCTATAGTCAGCCCTGTTAAAGTATTGATTGATTATGTGCATCATGTTGGTGTCAATTCTTAGTAGACACATAAATAGATTTTCTCCATGATGATCTGTCCTCCATGACGAGGCAGTTGTTTCCAAAGACTTTAAGTGCAGTGCTGTGTGAAGTGCACTGTAAGAATCCTGTTTTGTAGTGATATTACATAATATGTAAGTGTCATGTTGACTAGATCTGCATATTTTAGGAAAGGGCCCTCCTGAATACTGGCTTCCTAGACACTGTCAACATCGGGTCATGTTTAGAAAAAAATCCCAAATGAGGCGCTCATCTTTCAAAAGAGAGGACACCATTTCATTCAATCTGAAGTTGAGAAATTATTTCATGAGCAAGAATCTCAAAAATGGAATATTAGGGAATGGTCAGGTATCCTTTGGGAGAATGTTCTTTAATCAATCTATCATAGATTCTTGCAAGATCTATCTCTTGTAGTGAGGCATTTATCATTTCAGCCACCCATTCAGCCAATCCACTTCCGACTGTATTATTTATTCAGAATAGGCAAATGTATATATTGGCCTCACTTCTTGAAGAATCATTAAAGAATCCTGTCTATGGGTTGCACAACCCATTGAATTAAACAGGCAGGGTTTAAATTTGGTATACAATTGAACTAGGATCAGGGACCCTATGATTCAGGTCTACCTCTAGCCACATGAGTTCCCTTGGTGGCTTTGGGCCAGTTAATATTTCTTAATTTTCCTCATAGAGTTGTTGTCAAGGGATACAATTGGAGGGAAGAATACTGTAAACATTTCTTTGAGCTTATGCAAGCAATATTGATTCAAGCCCATAACACACTCGCTGTTAAATATTTAAAGATAAAAGCATGCCCTTGACAAAACCATGAGGATTCCCTTATGTGCTTCTCAAACATTTGAATTTGATCATCTTGGATGCACCAGGCCAACCCAAATATGGAAGAAGAAATAGCTATAAAATTTAAACTAAAAACGTTTAATCAAATGCCAAGCTTTCGTCGGTCAGCACTACCAACATCATCAGGGCTTAAAACAGGTCGATGGGAGTCTCTTTTATAGCACTGGCCATTTTTTGTGCACGACTCCTGGACCTTGTCATCGGTCCATCCAATGATCCTAATTGTTTGATTTCTGACAGGTGCGCATTGGCTGTTTTCTTGGTATTTTTCGAGGCTGCTACTTCCCTTCCTACACCCTCCCTCTTTGTGCGTATGCTATTATCTATCAACCCGCCACAGGCTCCCAAAACCAGCGTGTTCATTCCCCCACTTTTTGGGCCATTCGTTTCCTTCGTACGTATCCAGTTGCTCACTCTCACCCTATTGGGCTTTGGGCTTGCTGTTTTTCCCTCCCCCTTTCCTTCAGTTGTCCTTCTCATGTTTCCATAAACATACTCTATGTCTTTGTTGCTTTCTATGGTCCCTACTCTCTCCTCTTCTCCTTTTTTGATGTTTATTTCATTCGTGTCGCTCCAGTCAACATATTGCAACTCTCGTTCTAGTTCGTTTCTTTCATTCAACCTGGATCGTGTTCGTTCTCTCCTCATGGGGGTGTTGCTGTACTGTGTGTTTGATTCTGCCCCTCTGCTCTTGTGACTCATCCCCACCTTGTCGGGTCCTGGGCTTGTTGCTCTTTCCTTCCCCTTTTTTTCTCAAACATCCTTCTCATACTTCACGTCTCTGTTGGTTTCTGGAGTAGCTGTTCGTTCTTTCCCCCCGTTTTTGACGTTCGTTGTGTCCGTGTCATTACAGCCCTCACATTGTGTGCGACACTCTGGTTTGTTCTCTCCCCTCAATCGCAACCATTCTTTTGTTGTGGGGCTGCCAACATGCCGTACATTTGATTCCGCCCTCCTGTTTTTGCACCCCGTTGTTTCTGCGCATGTGCCGGTCTTTTTGATGTCATCCATGAAGCATATTCGGATATCTGGTATGGGGGCTTTTGACCAATGTATTCTTACCTTCGCTCCTTCATTGGGGGGTGTTATTCCAATCCATGGGTACTCTAGGGGATTCGGGGGGCCTCCTGCTTGTCGTTCGATCTGGTCACCCTTCCTCCTGATCGTTGTTCATGGTCCTCGTCTCCGTGTCATCAAAGCATCAGTAGATTGCCTGTTGGACTCCGCTCCCCTACTTGACAGCTCTCGTGCTCTTTTTAAACGTGTATAAACCCCCAGGGAAAGATCCTCTGCTGATTGTTCACAGGTATCCACTACCTGATTGTCCATGGGTTGTGATGTTACTTTCACTCTCTCTATTGTCCTATCTCTCTGGTCTTGTGGCAGGCGAGTAGATTGTCTTCGTTGGGATTCATGATGTTTATCCCACGTTCTCAATGTCTGATGTGCCGGGCAGAGTTCTATGTGCCGATTTATCGAGTTTTTATCGGAGAGCTAAACCTCTTTAAGTAGTGTCTCTGGATAGGGTCTGTATATTGGTGAGGTCGAACTGATGACCGAGATTAGTCATATGTGAGTGCTGTTTGCACCTTTTAATGGCCAGCTCGTGCTCATGCACCCTGGTCTTTAGTCTTTTGCCCCAACATAATTGCAGGGGCAGTCCTTGCAATTAATCCTGTATATCACTGACGATTTTTCTTCATTGGGGAGTGAATCCTTGGGGCACATGATCCTAGAGCGCAACATCTGGTCTGGTTTATGGGCCACCTTTAT